GGGGGACCGGGGGGGGGGGGAAATCACGTTGGAAATATGAAAAGCAATCACATTTTCTGTATCAGTAAGCAGGTCTGTTGTAGCCGGGGGTCATTCTTGCTCTCTGCCGTTGCTTGGGGATGCGTTTTTGTAGCCCCCCCCTCAGGGCTCACCTAGTTAATTAACTTTCCCTTCCCATTTTAGCTATTAGAATCGTGCAACTTTCTTGGCTAATTCTCCGCGCGGTGAATGAGACGCTGTTTTTTTTTATTTTTTTTAAATTTTTTTCACCCCCTTTCTCTCATTATACCTTTTGTTTGTGTGGAACATGGCGCCGGTGCACGCGTGCTGTCTCCTGGAATGGTTGCGTTGAACTACACAGTGACACTTTAAATGCATGCAAGAGTTTTAACAGCATTTAAGCGATGGGAGAAAGCTTTTTTTTTTTTTTTTTGCCGACGCCATCGAAAATCGGCAGAACATGGCGTGAAAGTCAGCTTCAATGTTACTTCGTTTTTATGCGTGGTTACCTTCTTATGGGCCGTTCAGTTCATCAGGGCTTGATGGAACAAATGAATCGTGATTGGCGTGATTTCCTAAGGGAGCAGTTGTGTTGAACGTCCACCGCTTTTACGCATGGGCGGGACGCTGAAAAAGATACACTGACCGCTTTACGCGCGGACGTCCTTGGCAAGTCCACCTACCGAAGGGTTTTCGTCCCTCCGTTAGTGGCCTGCACTGTTAATCTTGATCAAACCCGCCGGGCCGGGGCGGACATGTCGGCCGGCGTTTTACGACGTGCGGAGCCGTGACAGGTAGAGCTGTTGTTCACTACCTTGCGCGGGAATAATAGATCTGTTTAGCGTTAATCAATGTCTCGCGCGGGCTCATTGAGCAGTGCACTCAGCATCCCGCTTTTGTGTCAGAGAGCCTTTTAATCTAATTGGACATTAAACTCCTGTCATTATTCCTCATGCGCCCGAGACTTATTTACGGCGCGGCCGCTTGCTTGTCTTTACCTTTTCATTACAGCATGACAGTCTACATCAGCAAAGTCATTAAAGGGAATGAATCAAGGAGGTGCACGCTGACGTGTGGCTGAAATGCGTAATTTAATCAAACGCTCGCTGGCCCCGCACATAGTCGCGTTGTTTACGGCAGCCGTGGTGGCAGGCTTGCAGGTGAGCTAGGCTAGCTGCAAACCACAGACAGTGGATGGGGGCGGAAAGTCTACACACCCCTGTTCAAATGACATTTTTTTTTTTTTTTGGGGGGGTATTAAAACGATGAGATGAAAAGCCGACTAGAACATCTGAACGTTGGGTTTTCAGCGAACAAATCTGATTGCCATGCGGCATTTTGAAATGATTTCCTCGAAATGACAAACACAAAAGAAAAACGCTAACAGATACGCTTCATCAATCTCGTGAGGGGGAATTAAGCAAACAAAGATGGCTACATCTCTAATATCACCCTTTTAGCGGCTGCGCTGAGCAGCCTCTGTCTCCCCCGGTCTTGTCTAATCCAACAATTGCACAGCTCGAGGGTCTTGAGGGGCTTCCTCGTTCATTTCCCGGTGCGCACACAGCAGCTGGAGATCGCCTTTCATGGCTGTTTAAGCAAGCACTTTAAATGGAAATGTACTTGACATATAAAAGGGGTGTAATCATTGAGTGTTTGAACTCCACTCAATATGCCTCCGTGTCCCTGTGATGATTCACCTCATGGACCGCAGACTGGCGCTCTGGATCTTTAATTCTGATTTGAGAGAGCGAAATATAAATATTATACACACACACATATATATATATATATATGTATATAATTTGTCCTCTGCAATCCTCCACCGCCGTACAACAATTACAGGCAGTGAACATTTCATTAGGCTAATATGACTTGGCTGAGCCCGGGTGTGACATTGTTGTGCTGAGCACACTGTTTTCATCACATTGCATGGCAGTAAAATAAATAAATAAATAAAGGAAGGGGTGTTTGGGTGGAGGGGGGGGGGGCTGCCACCCCGACAAGCCCCTCAGAAAGCAACACAATTAATTAAGTGTTTCAAAGTGACGCCTTCTTGGCAAATTAATTTGTTGCAGGCAGCTTGTAGTTGGTTGTTTGCTTCATTTCATCATTGCGGCAACTTGCAGTTTTTAACATTGATCTACATTGGAATGTCGTGCGTTGGTCGATAGGATTCTCAAAATGTCATTTGATTAGAGCAAATCAGAAAAGAAAATGCGATAGATTTCCCCCAAAGTGGGATTTCCTTCATTACATCAAAGCGACAACACCGTTGATTTCAAAGGATAGCTTACAAACGCTGGCGGCGCTTCTCGGTAAGCTGCCCGACAAGGTCATCAGGTTTCTGTCTTCATATTCGTTTGTCATAGCAAGCCTGGAGCGTTTTGCATGCGTTAATAATCGCTCCTTTAAAATTGGCAAATTTTTTGGCAGGTTTTTAATTTTTTTTTGGATACATTTAAACACAGGAAAAATAAGGTGATAGTTAAAAAAATCCTCCAAAAGTGGCCGATTGTTTTATTTTTATTTTTTTCCCTCTCTGGTGTAAAGTTAAACAAACACTTCAGGACAAAGTAAAATTAGACAAATACCAAATAATTGTCATGCAATCCATATCTTTGTTGTTGTAAGCATTAAGAGACCACAAAAAAACATGTTATTCATCATATATATATTTCTAATTCATCAACACATTCATCGGTAATCTGAATTTTATTCTGCCAAATATCGGAATCAGCATCAGCCTAAAAAAAAAAAAAATTGGCTCCCTCCTCAGAATGATGAGATCATTTTTGAAGGGATGGGGGGGGGGGTGGAGGGCGTGGCTGGGTGTGTGTGAATGCTCCCCTTCCAGTGATTGTCCAGGCGACCCCACCCATCCAGTTTGCAAACCGCTGGTCATAGGAACAAATGAAACGTTTAAGTCAAGGCACCATTGTATTCGAAATCACCCTTGACAAGATATAAAATGAGCATCTAGTAAGGCCATAATGATCATTTCCATTGCACTTTTCCCGCTGTTTTCTCTTCGTCTCTGCCCGGAGCTCACTTCCCGCACTGCCATGGCGTGACGCTCAATCTGATGCACTTTGCACGGGAAATTAATTCCATTATTAAACACGCCGCACTTCAGAAATTTCAATTAGCGACGGCAGCTTGAGGAGGAGAAGACTCACGTCCCCCCCCCCCCCCTTCCACTTTTACGCATGAATATTGGATTAGACCAACAGCATCACCACCACACCGCACAAGTCAAGTGTGCAGAGGATTGGGGGTGTGGAGGGGGGGGGGTCCATATATAAACGTGCCTCATGGTGGGCAGATGGCCGCAGACAACAGGTCCATGGATGAAGACTACTTATGCAGCCATCACGAAGCCAAAATGTATTTAAGTGGTCAAAAGTGTTGCCACGAAGAGCTGGAACACAAAATGGCCACTTTAGTTAATGGGCTTACGAGGCGTAATGAATGTTGGAAGCCAACGCGAGTGGGCTGCTCACATACACCTGAATTAACACCAGTGACCTGTGTGCTTGTTAGGAGCAAGGATTTGCCCGATGCAGAGATTTTTTTTAGGGGAGGGGGTGTTCAAAAATATATGAACTGCACGTATGTATTTTAGCCCAATTTTCGTGAAAGTAAAGCTAAATTTTTTAAAAATTATCATGATGGAAGAACGCGTTTCATTAAAAAAAAATTTTTGGGACACAGAAAAGGACAATCAGCACTGTTAATTTCCTCATTTGCCATTCGCTCATGTTTTTGCAGACCCGAGTACTCTTTCCAGTCAGCTACAACGTCCCTCGTCGCCACCCTGCCGCGAGTCTCTCTGCGAGGGAGAAAATGAAGAAAGAAGAAAGAAAAAAAAAAAGGTCAAAGCAATTTATATGTGACACATAGACTTTTGATCGCTTTGTCATCGCCTCGGGGGTTGAGCCCGGCCTCTCTCACCGCTACCGCCGCTTGCACCGCCATGTACTTATTGAGACAGACAGATGGACACGCTTGCACACACGTCAACTGCCGTTTGCGGGAGCAGGTGAGCAAGTCGATGCTGTTCAGCCTTTGAAAAAAAAAAAGTAATAAAACCATGAGCAAATTTTTGTTTCTTAAACAAAACAGATTCAACTCGCGCGTCAAGGTATCCGTGCACTTCCGCTGACTTCATTAAAATGTCAAGATTGCCGGGTGCAGAAAAATAAAAGACACGGCAGATCTACAACCGGCGCAATGTAATAGATGATGTTGTCCATCTGCGGCGTTATTTATTGGACACATCTGTGCAGGTTATGAGTGACATGAAGAAGTGTGTGTGTGTGTGTGTGTGTGTGTGTGTGTGTGTGTGTGTGTGTGTGTGTGGTTGCGCGAATAACCAGGAGGCAGGAGCTGCCTTCATGAATACCCATCATGCCATTTCCACTGTGATTTATCGTGAGTTCTGCCAAATCGAGAGGAGGGGCGCCAAATGACCTTCACACACAAACACAGGGGAATTGTGCAACCGAAACATGCTCACCGAAGAGGTTAATTATCATCATATGAAATAATGATGTCATTTACGAAAAACCTCCAGGGTAGAGTAAACATCTCATCGATATCGTTGATGCCATCGTTTTTTTTAAAAGCAAGTAGGACACTGGTGATGTCGTCACGACATTTCAATGTCTCATTTAAACTTTCCGGCGCCGTCCTGAATTGCAAGCGACCTTTTGTAATGACAGTGATGTGGTTTTGGCTCGGCCCCCGTCTGCTGCTGGCTGTTTGTGGACGGCATGCTGTTTGCCTGATGTGTCCAGATGTGGAGCGTCAGCAGATTGTCGTCTTCTGCTCACCTCGTTCGGCTTCTGATGTTGAGTTCAATTGTAACTTCGCTTGTGACTTTTTTTCTGCGACAATACAGCAGTGATTAAAATAAAATAATATAATATGTATATAATTGCTTTCTAACAACAACAAAAATGTGGGATTTGAAAAAAACGATGAAAAAAAGGGGGAATTAGGGTTTATAAATTGTCTTTTACCTGAAAAACTTTTTTTTTTCCAACTATGTATCTTGAAATTTTGTGTGTTCTATATTCAATTTAAGAACTTATCTATAAAACTATGCAAATGGATAGCAAACGGAGTAACACGTAGAGGGATAGTATAAGAATACTGTTAGCTTATATATATTCTTTATCCTCTGCAAAGACACGACTAATGGTATTGAAGCTTATTGAGTCAGTGAGCATTGTTATGGCTCTTCTTTGTTTATTTGTACAACTGTACTCTAGTGCCCCTGCTGGCCAAGGTGGGCACATCAGAAGGAGCAGAACAATGAGTTCGATTGAAGCATAAAATCATGATGCACGAAGCCCACTACCACTTAATATTTATTGTTTTAAGGTTTTACTTTGTATAACAAGTTTGAGGACCGCGGTGCTTCCTGGACAGATTGATCATTTTGCACTAAACATTTACAGTAAAATCAAGCGTACTTTTCTCGTGGCACGAAGGCCCTGCGTGGCGGCCCCTCCTCGCCTCGACATCTCCCATCTCCTTTTCCTCTTTGTTACTGCATTAAGCAGTGCTGGAAATCAGTGTGTCCCATTTGTCCTTTTTACTGGAGGCTCTTAACACTGAAGTCCACAGATCATGAACCCAATCAAGGTGGGCAATTTGCGTTCAGTTTATTATGCTCGGGTTGCGCCGCCGTTGGTCTGACGCGACCCCCCACCACCGGTGGCACGGCCCCGTCCCACTAAAAAGCACCTCCGTCCTTTTTGTTATTGGTCTTTTGATTTATATGAGCCATCGCATCGGGAGTAGCCGGAGACCAGAGAGAGTACCTGGTGCCACCAAGAGGAGAATAATGCACTCGGCCATTATGAGCTCCATTGTCAGCTCGCAGCAATATCACAAAGAAGGAAGATAGAGTGACTCATTCAACGGCAGAAATTTGCCGCAAAGCTGCCAAACGGGGCGAAAATGATCAATAAATCGCATTTGCTCACGTTTAGAGTCTAAAGGACGATATAGTGCCATCATAAAACCTTTACTGACTCTACAGGCAATTTTGACGGTAACATTTCAGCATGCGAGTATAAAAATTGTAAAAACACTCTTGTTTCGGGTATGATTGCTGCTCTGTCATGCCGCAGGTGGCGAAAATGCGCGTGACACATCCCAAATCAAATTTTGTCGTTCTGCCAGAAATAAAACTTGTCAAAAGAATCCCAAGAGGCCATGTGGCCCATATCATTGATGTATATTTGTCTTAATTTGGTGACGAGCATAAAAGATAAATGTTTTTCAGGAATTAGGTCATCATATGAGAGCGATAAATTTATCAATATGTCAATCCCTTATCAAGACTTTTAACTTGACGTGTGACTTGATGTGGTTTGCTCCAAGTGAACTTTGACCTCCAAAGGCCGACTTCGTGCTGGAGTGTCCGTCGTTTAGAAACCGGTTGCAAGATTTGAACGAAGTCTTACTTCATTTCTCGCGTCTCGCTGCCCAAAGAAACAGCTCACAAAAAAGCCTGCAACGCATCGAAATTGCTAGCACGACTCACTCATGATGGGAATATTGCCCAAAATGAAATGTTATCGGTTTGTTTTTGTATTTTATTTGAACAGGATGAACTTACCAGGTGCTTATTAGTGTGAAGATAAGAAAGTAGACCTTGTTCTCTCCCTGTCTCTCTCTGATATTGTATTATCACTTTGCACTGAGACAAAGCAAGATGTCTCCGGTGATTAGAACTGCCTCTCCCTGTGTGTGTGTTTATATGTGACCTCGCCGAAGGACAAATAGGTAGACACTTCTTAGAAGCTGCCGCCGGGTCGTATTTGAACTGCCTCCTTGCTTTGATAAATTGCATCTCTCATCATTCTCAAAGTCTCTTGTCTACTAACGGGTTCACGTTTTTTTTTTTTTTTTCCCTTGACAACACCCTTACAATGCTAACAACCCAACAGGGGTCTCATTTGCATGTTATCCTTGCATATCCACGATGTGCTGCGAGGTATTAACCGGCAAGTCGCTGTCAGTCGAGTCATTCTGTGTCTTTAAAAGGCCATAAACAGAATTTGGTGTCTCGAAATGCTTTGTCGGAAGCATTTGAGGGCTGAATAGACATATTGCAAGGATGAAAATGCCTCGGCTTTAAATCTTTGCACCTGAACCTGGAACTTGAATAAGCATGACAAATGGATTAGCCGTGCACAAAGAGAGACTAACAGTAGTCTTTTATAGCGCGTGAATTCACCACCTGAAGCTGGCGGCGGGGGAAAGAAAAAAAAATATGAAGAGGATTCCGACGTAAAACGCGGCAGACTGTCTGCGTTGTAATTCCTCTCCTTCAAATCATAAATACAAGCAAAAAGAAAGTGAGGAATGATGTGAGGCCCCAAAGTCATCCGTCAGACTGACAGCCTCGAAATGGAACAATAGCGCCGTCTCCTCCCCACCTGGGCCACACGCTGCTTTACTTAAATAACTCTTGTATTCATGAGATCGCTCCGCAACGCCGAAGACGCCGTATGGCAATCGAACGAAACGCCAAGAAGGTGAGCTAAATGTTACGGCTACCAACAGCGGTTGCATGATTAATGTCTAGATGCTCATTTGGATCCGTTGTAGGAGTTTGCCAATGAGTATGATTTGTCTCTGTGGCTCTCCTTGCCCACACATGAGGGCATCACAACGCAAAGGCAGTTGGAAAATAATGCCTCAAAAATGATGTGGAAAAACTGTCGAGAATCATTTTGAAATTTAATCAAGAGGACACATTGTGCTCGCTTGTAAAATAAGAAAAGGTGATGAATCTTTCGTCTTTTACCAATGCTAATCACCTGTCAGTCCCGTGTCGACGCTCGCCTCGTCCTGCCGAAAGTAACATTGCTCGTACATTACGCTGCTTATTAATTCATTCCCAGACAGCATTAATGGGATGCGACGCTCCATCAGGTTCTTGTCTTTCTAATTGTCACCCCTACGGCTCCGTCGTTTGTCAGGCGCCCCAAATGCTTGTCGTTTCTTTTAATGAAAGAAAATGGGGCTGGGCTCGTGGAGAGAAATCTGGTGGAGGCGTGGAAACGTCACTTGATGAAGTTTTGGATTGAATTAATCATCGATCCATCAGCTTGCTAGAAAATCTCGTCCGCCTTTGAGAGTGCAGGTGTGCTTGAGCCTATTCCAAGTGACTTTTGGCTTGACAAGCGCGGTGTGCCCTGGAATGGTCGCCAGCATGGTGTGCCCGTTCACACCACCACAAGTGGATCCACCCGTTTTTACCGAATGCGGAAATTGCTTGCATCACCTTTATTAACCATAAAATGTTGCTTTTTGTTTGAACAAGCAAACTCGAAGACTGGAGCCGAAATTCAAACCGGGATATCGCAAAACCGTTAGTCGGATCACTAACCACTCGTCCACCGTGCCGCCCGCAATAAATCACACTCCTGCGCTGACCACCGAGCAAATTGAAGCGTGCCGAGTACACGCAGCTGTCAAAGGAACGGTCGCGCACAAGCACGGGCCGTTCGTTTTTATCATTGGAGATATGAACGCGGGTTATGTCAATTTCGACACATCACGCCGACGCTCATGTGCACCCAGCCGTAGTCGCGCCGCATTACAGCAAGAAAAAGAGAGAGAGAGGAAGCGAGACCCATCTGGTAGCTTTTGCAAGTGTAGCACTCAGCGGACTCTGATTTCATTATCTCAGTGTGTTCCCCGTGACCTGCAGACAAAAAATGACATCTGATTTACCTCAAGATCAATTTGTATGTAAATCAGAACGCAACTGGAGGGCAATAGAGGTGTGGCACAACAAAAACAGTTTTTAGGCGGGGGGTGGTGGTGTTGGCTTGGTGAACACGTTAGT